GTTACTTGCGAGTACTTGTGGTTTTCGGTACTCACCCTTGCTTCTACACAATTGTGTAGGTTGACAGCTCTCTCAGATTCGGCTTAGTATTTTCTTTAGCAGATTGAGCTTTGGGACATACTCGAGAGGTAGCGGTTCATTCCAGACGTGCCCTTGAGTTATCTTTACTTTCAGTTTTGTTCTATTCGAGAACTATACTCTGAGACTTGTATATTTTTATTCGAATTCTGTATTTAGAGGTTTGTACATGTGACAACCAATTCTGGGTAGTGTTGAGTCTTAATTAAAGTCTTCCGCTTATTTATTATCTTTTATTCTCGTATTTCTACTTCTCTATCGTTGTGGTTGGGTTAGGCTGACGTGTCCGGTGGGAAATGGACACGTGCCATCACATCCGGATTTGGGGTGTGACAAAACTACACTGTGTAGTTAGGTACATTTTTTTTTTATGTATATACACAATATATCGACTCCCTTTGGCTTATTTTAGAATTTACTTCTTTACATTTTTACATTATTTTATGATTCCACCATCCACAATCACTACGATGTTTAGTGGTTGACAAATATATTTTACTTATATAATAGCTAGTGTCTATCGATACTAGGGAAAGGATTCCTCTTTAAATAATAGATATTATAAGTAATATTCTTATTTATTTGGTCCATCCTTAATGTGTTGTCTGAGGGAGACAAAACAGTGTGACAAAAGTCACAACTCAAACACTACACGCATTAGCACAAATCACACTGCCATTTTGAAAAGGGAAACAAAAGTGTGTTTCTTGGCATTGCTCCGAGTAAACGTGGATCTAAGATTTGAAGTTTATGAATTTTTATTAGAGGTATCGAATAAGTGCTTGAGCGGAATACATGCAGATTAAAATAAACCGAGTTAATAAATAAGCAAGTTATGGTCTGTCCATAAGTTATTTTGACTGAAATGGACTATAATTAGGTCATGATCAGCCATGACCTAATCTTTTTCAGTTTTTACTAAATTTTTAACTTCTTTGTTAATTGTTATAAATATAATTTGTTTACGTACCTAATATTTTTTTTAAAATTATTATAACTATATATTACATATCAAGTAAAAAGAGTATTCTTTCAAAAATTATTTTGATAAAATATCTTATGGCCGTCAATTTGAGGTATATGTTGACCTAAACTACATATAGGTTAAACTGGGTAGATAAAAAATGGTCAAGTTAACAAATGGACCGATCAAACTTGAACGATTGAATGAGTTATATTTCTACAGACTAATTTTACCATTGATATATCTTATTATAACCTCAAATTAATAGTAGATCTGTCCCATTATAATGCACCAAAAGTTTGATGAGGGATATTATAATTGAATAATATATTTCAAATAATATAAAGATAAAACTATACTTTTTTTATAAAAAAAAATAAAAATGAAATAACTTTTTTCGTAAAGAAAATATCTAGATTGTAATAGGTGCCGTAATCACCGGGAACTTGATTAGAAAAGATTGTAAAGTGATAATTCATTTGTACTTAATAATAAGGTATGTTTTGGCCCTCTTGTGATCATTAACAAAGATTTTTGTGTTCAAATTTAGTATGCGTTTATTTATAAATTTTAAAAAAAAATCACGTTATTTAAAATTTATTATATTAGAATTATGTTTGATTGTACTTTTGTAAAGGAGATCTTCAAATTTGCTAAAAATGGAGTTAAAAAAAATAGATTTGACACATTTTTTAAAATTTTAAATTCTACTTCAAATTGAATTTGAAAATTTATAGCTAAACTCTTATTTTAAATAAAATAAAAAATTATTCCAAAATAAATGAATAATTTTCAGGATCAAACGAATTCATAGTACACTATAATTATGTCTTGGCCCTCTTGTGATCATTAACAAAGAAATTTGTGTTGAAATTCAGTAGGTGTTTATCCATAAATTCAATTTTTTTTTCATGTTATTTAGAACTTATGACGCTATGGTTGTATTTTTGTAAAGGAGAGAACGAGTACTTTATTCGAAATTTGTGAAGACATTGGAAAACAGATTTGACACACTTTTTCAAATTTTAAATTCAAATTTAATTTTATAGCTAAACTTTGATTTTAAAATAAAATATAAAACTATTTGGTAATGAATTAATAATTTTCATGATCAAACGAATCATAGTACACTATAATTGGAATATTCTCATTTCTCTGTCCTTCACCCTCTTATGTTTTTTGAACTTACAAATGTTTAATTTAACTATTGGTTTTCCAAAACAATTATATATAGAGAGTATAAATTCAAATAAATAAGAAACTCACCCTTTTTTTTATGTTCATAAAAGAATAAGAATACAAATAATTAAAGTGTCACTGAATAATCATAATAAATTAATTAAAGCAACGCACTATACATTTTTTTTAATGTATGGTGGAAACAATATAATGAACATGGATAAATGATGCTAATGGTACTCCACTAGCCATAGTAACTATAAATTTCTCTATGGCAAGGTTGATAAATCTTTAAAGAAATATTTTAAGTGAATTTTATATTGGAGTATAATGAAAAATTAAAAAGTTTTACGAGACATAAAGTAAGTTAATATTATCGTACGTTTTTTAACTCAATAGCATATATAGCTCAAGAGACTAATCGATGAGAGGCTGACTATGGTAAACATGCAATACACATGTATTATAAACTTGGACCATAATACTCTTTTTTTGGGATACATCTTGAATTTTTTTCCTTTTGGGATACATCTTGAATTTTGTGTTTTAAACATAACATACGACTACGAAAATATGTCACTAAAAATAGAATAATAGTTTAAAGTAAAATTTATTCAAATATAAAAAGAGGTAATTCTTTCTTTAACAAATTAATTAATAAAATAATGTCAGATGAAATGAAATAGAAAGAAATAGAAAGTATTGCTAACTTAAGTAGCTTATTTACTATATATAGTATAGGTTCATATTTTCTTTTTTTCTTGTCTTTTTTGGTAGTAGATGATTTTAACGATAGTTTTGTCTTGAACCAATCAAAGTTAAAAATCTCGAGCGTAATATACACTATAAAATGAAGAACTTTTATAAAGATAACTAAGAGCCAAAATAATTCCCAACATATATTACTACTTAATGTTAGAAATAAACATGAGTCTTTAGCGCTTAACACGTGAACTTCTTATCCTTCGAGATGAATAGTGAAGGTGTACGCAAGCTATTATTTATTTTTGTATTTTTCTCGTCAGGCGCTTCATAATATCCTCCTATAAAACGGTTAATTAGGGATTGCGAGCAAAAAAATGAATTAGGTATAGGTCATTTGAGCAGTAAAAGTACTTTGGATATCGAATGGTCTGATCAATTTGTCCGATCTAATTTTTTTTTTTTTTTTTTTTTAAATGACAATAGGGTAGGAATCTGTTTATATACGCCTCAACTATTTTTCAAGTACCAGTACAAGTATGAAGAAAATCATATTTAAAATTTTGAGGAATTAAAATTTCTTAACTATTTACAAAATGAATAGAAAGAGTTTACTTTTTTAGATCTTGTATGTGTTAAAATGAATATAAAACTAAAATAAAAATAGTAAGTGGCTTTTAAAATCAATTGCTATAAAATTTAAAGAACTAAAAGGACAAAAAAAATGGGGAAAAGAAATTACGTACACCCACCCTATTTTAATTTTGGTGACATACTTTTTTTTAATTTATCTAAAAATAATACCAAATTTCCTTATTTAAAATTAATTTAATTATAAACTTTCTATTTTACCTTTAATAACATAATTAATTAATAGCATTAACTTATTAATACCATAAATTTCAAAAAAAAAAATTGTCCAATTAAATTTTGTCACATAAACTGAGACGAAAAAACTTTATATATATACTATAGTGAATCAATTTTGAAGCACCAACTTTCTTTTCCATAGTACTCTCTTCTCTCTCTCCATTCTTCTTTCACCCAAAAAAAATAAAAAACTCCAAAACCAAATAGTTTTTTGCTAATTATGTCAAATTTATTTCTTAAATCACTTGCCTTATTTATTATTTTTATTTCTTTAGAAAGTGTTAAATCAGAGCTTATAGTACACAATAATAGAGAATTATTGAGTAATTGCAATTTATTTCAAGGCCAATGGGTTATTGACCCTTCATTTCCTCTTTACCAATCTTCAAATTGCCCATTTATTGATCCAGAGTTTGATTGTCAAAAATATGGAAGACCTGATAAAGAGTATCTCAAATATGCTTGGAAGCCTAATTCTTGCAACTTACCAAGGTACAAAAATATATATTTAATATTTATATATCGTCAATGTAAATTCCTTGATATGTGTTATTTGAGTTGCAGGTCTTGAAACAACCTTTTTACCTCTTTCGTGAGGTAGGGGTAAAAGTTGTATGCAATATATCTTTCACAGACTTCACCTTGCAGGACTATAATACTGATATGTTGCTGTCATTGTTATTGTTGTATTATCAGTGTAAATTCTTTAATATGCATTCGGGGTCTTGGAACAAATTCTCTACCTCCTTGAATTAGTGATAAAATTGGTGTACTCTCTATCTCCTTCAGACCTCACAATTCACATTGTAGGACTACACTATTAGTATGATATTGTTAAACCATCAGTGTGAAAGAATTTTTTTTAATATATGTTTGTTCGATTCGATATATAAATTGTTGAATCTCTTTTTAACATATAAGTAGATTCTTATGTTGTGGTAAAGGAGTTCAAAATGGTTTTAGCTTTACAATACTTCAATTAATACCAAGTGTAACATTTACATTTAAAGGGATAAATATTTACTATCGCTATATTTTAACATGTTATAATAAGTAACTTATTTTATTTTCAAGTTGCTATATATGTCTTTGGTGGAGATTTTCGAGAAAATACTATCGCATATTCCTCTAGTTCTTTATAAAAGATATTTAATCTGTTAAAAATATAAAGTTCTTTGTATGGACATTTGAGACTAGGGGTCCATTCCCTTGTTTTTTTTTCCCTTTTCAAGATTTTGATTGATATTTGTGTCCCTATAAGTTTTGTTTTCTTCACTTTTATTTATTTATTTATTTTAATTTAATTTTTTTTTGCAGATTTGATGGAATTGATTTTTTGAAAAGATGGAATGGAAAAAAAATAATGTTTGTTGGTGATTCATTGAGTTTAAACATGTGGGAATCTTTAGCTTGTATGTTACATTCATCAGTGCCAAATGCCACCACTTCTTTTACTAGAAAATCAGTAACTTTTCAGGTTTGTGAGTTTTCTATTTGAATTATTATTATCAATTATTTACTAAAATATATCTTAATTATCTAATAGGAAAATAGGAAAATAGAAAAAATAAGAATTAAAATGTGTTTTAATAAATAATTAGTGATAATTCAGATTAAAAAACTGATCACACATTTAAAAACGAAATTACTTTAGGTATATTTTGATCCTTCGCTCTATTTATTCTGGAATGTTAAATACTTCTTTGTTACATTGTTTCAAGGCTTAAGCATTAAATACAGAGTCACTTTTATTTAAAAAAATAGTAGTAATTAAGATTTTTTATGCGAATTAACATTAATCGAGCTTTTTAATAAGGATATCAAATATCGAAAGAAAATTAATTTTTTTTTTTTTGTCTCTGATTTTTTTGCTTTTTTTTTCTTTCTAGAAGTTGCCATTTTTACCTTTCAGAATGTGCATGGGAGACAAGAATTTTTATTGTTTTTATGTTTGTTTTTTATTGAGTAAAAACCCGTGATTTGTCAGAGGCGTGAACAACAATTTTAACTTTATTTTAAAATTGATGTTTCCAATTTGCTAGCAAATTATTATTTTGTTATTTTTGGTTATATTGGAGCAATAATATTTCTCCTTAACACCATTGTTATCTAGTCTCATTATAATAATTTATATTTTCTTAAAACATTATATTCGCTTGGTCTTTGCTATCTTAGTTTGGAGTTTCAATTAATTTAAATTTGTCTAGCGTAAGGCCAATTAAGGGAACAAAACACTTTTTACCAATTTTTTTTGTTTTATTATGTTTCAAAATCGAGATGGAAATCTTATACATTTCACCATAATCATTGATGGTCATTTTATATAGTTTTCAATATATAAATATTATATTTAAAGACTTGAAAAAAATTATACATTCAAATTTAGAATGAAAATGAAGTAGTTTGATCATCGTACTATATATAAATCTTCGACATATAAAATGAAATCAAGAAAAATATTCAAAAGTTCTTGAGCCTATGAACCATTATGGATTATGGTGGAATGAGTTAGAACTCTTTCTCAAATCTTGAAATGAAAAAATATATTAATAGAAATTGTTTTTTTTAATGAATCTTACGTGATGCGATTAGCCACTTGACATTCAAGAATATTGTAACAAACTAGTGGTAGGTCCAATAATTTTTTATTTCATGGCACATATAAATATTTTCTCCCCCTTAACCAATTTTAGCAAAATGCTCAAACCTAACATTAAAAGTCACTGACTTGATTGTGTAAAATTAGTTTCTGATATTTATTGTTGTCAACTTGTGCTTATATATATTGAATCTTTAAGGGTACTCTGTTATATGTGTGGTCTAGAATTTGTTTTATATCTTATTATAGATGTTATTTTAGTTATATAAATTTTCTATAAGGGATTTTATAAATAAAATTCAGTAGATCTTTGTAGGATCAATTACTTCTAATCAATCATAAGAAATCATTAGTCATTCAGAATCCATAAACTTCATTAAATACTTGATTGATTAGATTCTGTATTTGTATTATAAAAATTCCATACAGATAAACATTTGATTGCGAACTAGTAATAAAGACACACTATGAATTCAGTGGCTGTTCAAAATTCATAAATTTCAAATTCTAGCTTAATTAGCCCCTGAACAATGATAAATGTTTACTCTCTTGCACCTGGACGGAGCTAGGAGAGTGTTGAGGAATTCATCTAAACTTCTTTGTCGAAAATTATGTTGTATATATAATATTGAATCCCTTAGGTTCTTCATTTTTTATTTTTTTTATTTTTATATTTTAAATCATCTTAGTGAAAATTCTGATTTCGTTACTACCTGCTCCCACATTTTTCTTTTGCTAATTCTCTTAATAATGATTTGCACAGGATTATGGAGTAACTTTATTCCTTTATAGAACCCCATATTTGGTAGATATAGTAAGAGAAAAAATTGGAAGAGTGTTGAAATTGGATTCCATACAACAAGGTGATGCTTGGAAAGGAATGGATATGTTGATTTTCAACTCATGGCATTGGTGGACTCACAAGGGAAAATCTCAAGGGTAACATATATTATATCACCTTCCACTTTTCATCTCTCTTCAAATAATTCAAAAGATACACACAAATAAATCATGAGTCCTTAATGTGTGGGTCTGATTCCATTTTTTATGTGTCAAGTACGTGCAAGTCTGATTCTCTTTTACAAGCCAAATACACTAAAAAAAACATAACTGATAATAGGTGAAATAAGACTCAAATCCGAACAAGGGCATAGCTACAATGTTAAAGAGGGGTTAATTCGAATGAAACCAATAGCTTTTGCTTAAATTCAACATTTGTATTGAAATATGTTATTATATGTGTTAATATTTAGTTGTGAACCTAGTAACTAAAACAAAGTATGGATTTAGTGACAAATTCAGAACTCATAAATTTTAAATCTTAGTTTTATCTCTACCTAGGACCTTTACCTACTCTTGATATTATATCGGAGTGTATAATCATTGTATCTAAAATTAAAGCTTAAACATTTACACAACACATATTTTTTATTTACTTAATTCTATCTTCTACGGTTATAACCATATCGTAACATCTTTGGCATATCCACCACTAACACATAGGCAAGCAACATATCTTGATCTATCATAGCAGAACCATTGAGAAAATCGAGTGAATAACCTTAACGGTCGTTTTAGAAGTACATGAAATGACCAATTTTACAATTTTTATTGTTGTAGATGGGACTATATGCAAGAAGGCACGAAAGTGTCAAAAGATATGGACCGTTTGATAGCATTTTACAAAGGCCTAACCACTTGGGCAAGATGGGTTGATCAAAATGTTGATTCAAATAAAACCAAAGTCTTCTTCCAAGGCATTTCTCCCACTCATTATATGTAAGTTCATTTATTTACTTTTTGATTATATTTAATTAATTTCTTCAATTCTTAAACTAATATCACATGGCTTTATATATATATTTGGTATGAGAAGAAAAAATCTAGAAAGAATATTTTCTAATGTTTAATAAGACAAAAGTTATATATATATATATATATTTGGTATGAGAAGAAAAAATCTAGAAAGAATATTTTCTAATGTTTAATAAGACAAAAGTTATATATATATATATATATTTGGTATGAGAAGAAAAAATCTAGAAAGAATATTTTCTAATGTTTAATAAGACAAAAGTTATATATATATATATATATTTGGTATGAGAAGAAAAAATCTAGAAAGAATATTTTCTAATGTTTAATAAGACAAAAGTTATATATATATATATATATTTGGTATGAGAAGAAAAAATCTAGAAAGAATATTTTCTAATGTTTAATAAGACAAAAGTTATATATATATATATATATTTGGTATGAGAAGAAAAAATCTAGAAAGAATATTTTCTAATGTTTAATAAGACAAAAGTTATATATATATATATATATTTGGTATGAGAAGAAAAAATCTAGAAAGAATATTTTCTAATGTTTAATAAGACAAAAGTTATATATATATATATATATTTGGTATGAGAAGAAAAAATCTAGAAAGAATATTTTCTAATGTTTAATAAGACAAAAGTTATATATATATATATATATTTGGTATGAGAAGAAAAAATCTAGAAAGAATATTTTCTAATGTTTAATAAGACAAAAGTTATTTTCAATGGAAAACATTTTAAATCAAAGGAAGGATCTATTACTTGTGAGTGGACGATGGACGAAGGAAGTCATTTTCCTTATAACAATCGTAACTTTTAGCGTATATTATTCGTTTAAACCAACATTTGGATGAGTTTGGTATGGAGGAAGATTCTAAAAATATTTTTCAATTTTTCATGTTTGACTCTTTAAAATTAGAAAAATGATTTTAGTAGTGAAAATACGAAAACAAGCTTCATAAATAACATTTTATATTGATATTTATCTCCTTCCTCCCCCGCACCAACTCCCAATATCCCACCGTCGCGCCCCCTCAACGCCCGACCCCACACACTAACCCCACCCCTACCAATCAAATGGCCAACATCATCATCCCATAATATTTGCTTAGATTATATATACATTCTTCTCGTATAATAACTTTTTCTTCATCATCAAACATTAGAAAATAAATTAAAAAAATTACTGACTTTTCACAAAAACATTTTTCGTGAAAAATATTTTCCATCGTACCTAACACACCCTTAGACATTAGTATTAATCCCTAATACTACTCAAAAAGATTCATAAGAACAATCCCCAATTTGCTAATATTATTATTAATCTCTAATATATATCCTCTTATAAGAAATAATTTTCACTCACCAATCAAACACCAAAAAACTTTCTCTAAATAAATGACTTTCGTCGTATCAAACATACCTGAATTTACAACTTTCAAAACTTATGAGTCACATCAACTAATTATGTTACATTTTGATTAATTAGGGGCAAAGAATGGGGTTCATCAACAAAGAATTGCAATTCAGAGCAAGTGCCATTATCAGGATCAACATATCCAGGAGGATTACCATCATCTACTATTGTTGTTAACAAAGTGTTAAGTAGTATTAAGACACAAGTTTATCTACTTGACATTACATTTTTGTCACAATTAAGGAAAGATGCTCATCCATCAGCATATAGTGGACAACACCCTGGTAATGATTGTAGTCATTGGTGTCTTCCTGGTCTACCAGACACTTGGAACCAACTTCTTTATGCATCATTGGTTATGTAAAGTTACAATTTAACTTATATACACAACGGTATAAAGTGACTTTGATACTATCAGGTCAACGAGAAGGATATGTATGAATAATCGTTCATAAAAAAAATAAAAATAAGACAAGTTATCTGCTATAATATTTTATGGTTCAGACTCTTCTAAAATGTCGATGGATGTGTCAATTTTACGGAAAGTGGTGCGTTTGTGAAGAATCTTATTTTATGGTTTGGGATGTTATAAGTAAAGATTTAAAGGGCAAGAGGACTTTATGTCAAGTTTTCGTCTGTGTTATTTATTAAGTTATTTTGATAACATAGTATTGAGATCAATTAGTGTGTGCCTTAACTATGATAAAACCAGTTTTCATCGGTAATAAATATGCACATTAAAAAGGTATTAAAGTCTTTAACGACATTAATTAATTGTCATTGAATTCAATGTATATAGACTTTAGAAACATTTACAAATAGTGCAAATTGTTGCTAAAAGAATATATTTAGCAACAATTAAGCTATTGTCGTTAAAGATTATTTTTGATATAGCGCTTGATTAAGTTGCCCTACAACAAACACACCTACATATATCGAGCAAGTCTATCCATTAAGATCGGAGTTGATAGGTTCAAACTGTTGATATAACAAGTTCTATTTTATTTTAGACTTAATGGTTAAAACACATTTAAAAAATATCCTAATTGTTTGAGTTTCACGAACTATCAAGAGCATGCACAAATTTTCTATCTGAACCTAACTATTTATCAAAACATTCCTCAACTATCAGTTGTTTTCTTTTCTACCTGAAATATCACCAGGTTAAAAGAAAAAGAATGATTAGTAATTAAAATGTGCTTTTATAAATAACTAATAAATAGTTCACATTAGAAACTCACATATCATATAATTCAGATGTGATATAAAGTGGCTAGTAAATACAATATTTATATTTATTATCAATCAATCGAACTGTGCTTTGAAAAATATAAAATAATGGATCCTATTTTTTTAAAATTTTATTTTCAACTAGCCTATATGTCGACCTGGTCCATCTATATATTAGGAATACAAAATTCAAGGGGTACAAGTGGTATCATCAAATTTGACCTGTTAAATTTTGAATGGACTTTTATCAAAACTTTGATTATAATTATTTGATGAATAATTTGGCACTATATATACGCAGCTTTAATTTGACTTAATATAGATCTTTTTATTATTTTGATGAATAATTTGGCACTATATATACGCAGCTTTAATTTGACTTAATATAGATCTTTTTATTATTTTGATGAATAATTTGGCACTATATATACGCAGCTTTAATTTGACTTAATATAGATCTTTTTATTATTTTGATGAATAATTTGGCACTATATATACGCAGCTTTAATTTGACTTAATATAGATCTTTTTATTATTTTTCGATCGGTATGTATTTGGATATTCATATTAAAATTTAATTAATTTTGAATCCGTGCATAGCAATATCCATTTTAGGGACCCGACACTTTTAATGTGATTTTTTCTATTCTCGTAGATTTGAATTCTAGACATTTAGTTAAGGTTGCAGCCATATAGGAATCTCAACCATCTAACTGTAATTTAATTTAATTTATGTAGGTACGTACTTAATATAATTATTGCCTTTTTATGATATGTTTGTTAATTGCATAATGATAGATCTTTGAGTTGACTATTTAATTTGAATATATTTATGATGATGCTATATGAATTAAGATATGTTTGTTAATTTATATATATATACTCCCTCCGTTTCAATTTTTTTTTAGTCTATTTAAAAAAGAATGATCATTTTCTTTTTTGGCAGCACTTTAACTTCAACTTTCCACGTGACATATTTAAGACCACAACATTAAAGGGCATTTTGGTACATTTGACATAACTTTAATTTAGAATCACAAAATTAGAAAATCTTCTTTCTTTTCTTAAACTCCATTTCAAGTCAAACTAGATCATTTTTTATGAAATCGAGGAGTATATATTTGTGTTGAGTGTTTGAATATATTTATGATGCTGTATGATATGTTTGATAATTGCACAATCATTATTGAGTTGAGAATTTGACTATGTCAATGATTGCTACTATAAGATCAAAATTTTAAGCTACATTTTAATATGAAAAAAAATGTAACTTAATAATATATTTTTTTCTATAACTTTTAAATATCTAAATTTTCATTTTAAAATATTAATTTAATTTAACTCAATATAAGACATAAAAGATGTTGAGTTGTTTTGCTAACATCGACCTATCTTATTGTTTTTCCCACCAAGCCAAACTAGGGTTAAATCTACATTAAATTCATTAACAATATAAATATTATAAATTTGGTTTACAATAAAAATTTATAATATGTGCCCTTTGAATGTGTTACCGATAAATTCTGCTCCACTATGATAGTTTACAAATCATACTGAAGAAGTAAAATTATAATAAATAAATTTAATATAATAAGTTTGACCAGAAGAATATGTAATAAACATATTATATAAACAAATGATATTAATAGATGAATAAATCTCATTAATATGTGAAACTTATACATATAATTTTAAAAATATAGCATATATTACTCGTTACAACAGATAAATATCTATTTACTATATTGCATTACATTAGTTTTTTCTTCAAGTAGCCGATCACTTGAATGCACCCAAAAAGGAAAGGATAGAAAAACATTGGGAGCAACCCCCTAATAAAAGAAATATGATCTTGTTAAATCCAAAAAAAGACAAATAATATAAACTAAAAGAACGTCAAAACCCTATATATTGGAAAAAATATTTAAAAAATATTTCTCATTTTATGTTCGATATTGAAATTCAATTGGTTAATCCAAATTCACATACTGCAGACTGTCACACATCTAAAGGCGACGATCCCTACTTTCAACAAGATTTTTTCTATAACCAAAACAGAAACATGAGACTCTAATTAAAAGTGGAGAGTTGTCCTCCACAACGTTGACGCACGATTGGTTTATATATATTGAAGTTATAATAGAAATATGAAGTAAGACATAATGCACCTATTTTTTTAAGCTTATATAAATAAAAAATAAATAAAAATATCACAATTGGACTTTGACTGTCTACTCGAGCCATAAATTGGACTATAAATACATTAACTCAATTACCTTCCATATCATAACTTAAATTCTTCATCCATATACCTTATATTATTTTATTTTTTCGTATAACTTCCTTCTTCTACTTTTTTTCGACGATAGCAAAAAAATGAAAACCGGAGACAAGTTTGAGAGATTTTCAAGTTGTAGAGGTGTAGCTTTCGAAATAAAGCCTCGTAACGATCCATTTTCCGTCCCTAAACCACCTACTAGTGAAGCTAATTCCCATGGTAGCAATAGATTTTGGCTACCATGGGAAAATATTAGCAAAAAATTCGTTCCATCGTCTTCATCTTTCATGCAACGATCCATGAGTCGTACTAGTAGTCATTTTTGTGATCTAGATATAGACACGAATGAAGATGAAGATGAAGATGAAGACGTTGATACTTTGTCTTACATTGAAAAAGGTTGTTATGACACACAAATTCCTCAAAAGGGTTCATCACCATTACCATTTCTACCTCCTAAAACACTAAGCAAACGCGAAAAAAATAATAATTTTTCATCGCGATTATCCATTATCCTTCTTGATCAAGGGTTGTTTACAGTATACAAGCAATTATTTGCGCTATCTTTAATTCTAAATATGACTTTTTTAATTCTTGCTAGTACGGGAAATTTCCCATACGCAAGAAAAAAAGCTGTCCTATTTTCAATTGGCAATATCTTCGCTTTGACACTCTGTCGAAGCGAAGCATTTTTAAGAGTTGTATTTTGGGTCACGGTGAATTGCTTGGGATGGTCTTGGATTCCTACACGAATCAAGACTATTGTTACGTCTTTACTCCAGTCACTAGGTGGAATCCATAGTGGTTGTGCAATTTCATCGATTGCATGGCTAATTTACGCGTTAATCCTAACGTTGAATGACAGAGAAAACACTTCCCCTGAAATCGTTATCGTTGCTTTTGCAATCCTTTCACTTCTCTCCCTCTCCTCCCTCGCTGCATTTCCTCTCGTTCGACATCTCCATCATAATTTCTTCGAGAGGATTCATCGTTTCGTTGGATGGATAGCGTTATCACTTCTTTGGATTTTCATTACCTTAACGGTTTCTTATGATCCTAAAACTAAATCTTACAACAACGCGGAAATTGGCTCCAAACTTATCAAACAACAAGAATTTTTGTTCACATTGGCTATAACATTGCTAATAGTCATCCCTTGGATGACCGTGAGACGTGTCCCAGTTAAGGTCACGTCTCCATCAGGACATGCAACGATTATAAAATTCGAGGGAGGAGTCAAAGCAGGGATATTAGGACGAATTAGTCCTTCTCCCCTGTCTGAATGGCACGCGTTTGGGATCATTTCGGATGGGAAGGATGAGCACATGATGTTGGCAGGGGCGGTTGGTGACTTCACGAAAACCTTAGTATCGAACCCCCCTAGCCATTTATGGGTACGACAAGTTCATTTCGCGGGGTTGCCTTATTTAGTAAACATGTATAATAGGGTACTAGTGGTTGCAACAGGGTCTGGAATATGTGTATTTTTATCGTTCCTTTTGCAACCTAGCGCGGCTAACGTGTGTTTTCTATGGGTGACAAAAGGGGTGGAACAAAATTATGGTAAGGAAATAAAAGAGATGTTAAGTGGGCATTCGAAGGAGAAAGTGATTATACACGATACAGCCTTGTTAGGACGTCCAAACGTATCAGAAATGAGCGTTGAAGCAGCGCGAAAATGGAGAGCTGAAGTTGTAATTGTTACTAGCAATCCAGAAGGGAGTAGAGATGTGGTTAATGCTTGCAAAAAATCTGGAATTCCTGCATTTGGTCCTATTTGGGATTCTTGAAATTCAATTCATTTTTATTTGTGGAATACTATAGTTTTTGTCAATCTCATACATTAGGTCTTATGTAAGCAATTTATTTCTATTCTTTTTCCTAATAATATGAAGTATATACTATAGAAAAAAAAGAAGGATTTTAAAGT